CACATATCAACGTTTGGGGTTGTGAAGCTTTCGTAAGACGAGAGACTCATGACAAGCTTGAACCTCGAAGTGAGCGGTGTATTTTCATCGGTTACCCACAGAAATCTTTTGGATATCTTTTCTACAGACCTAGTGACAACATGGTCTTCGTAGCAAGGAGAGGGGTTTTCCGCGAGAGGGAACTTATATGCCAAGAGGACAGTGGGAGGACAACTGATATTGAAGAGATTCAAGAATCAAACGGTGAAGGAACCTCAAACACTAGCGATAAACTTGAGGAAGAAATTCATGTTGAACCGATTGACAAGTCATTGCCTCTTAGACGTTCCACTCGAGTTAGAATGACACCGAAGTTTTATGGTTTTCATATTACTACGGACGGTGATACGTTTATCAGTGATAGTACGCTGATAAAATTTGGATGAGCCATCTAGCTACAAGGAAGCCATGGCTGGCCCTGAGTCTGCCAAATGGAAAGAGGCAATGGACAGCGAGATCCAGTCCATGTATGGGAATCAAGTTTGGAACTTGGTTGACAATGTACCAGGTCGAAAGACAGTTGGGTGCAAATCGATCTTCAAGAAGAAGACCGACATGGATGGAAATGTGCATACATTCAAGTCTCGACTGTATCTGATCCTCCCAGTCGAATCTTTGTGCCTCAATCGCCAGGTTAGTTGTTTCATTGTTGGATGTAGCTCCTCTGTTGTTCCCTCCAAGCACCAGCGTCCTATCAGGATTGTTCCTGGTATCTGGCTTGGTGGATTCACGAGCAAAATGACCTAGCTCGTGACAGTTGTAGCACCAGAGCTTGCTCTTGTTGAACCCCACCTTCTTCTCCACGTTCATTCCCCAGTTGTTCTTCCCTTTGCGCCGAGTAAACTTCTTTGCCCTGAACACAACCATAGCTATTTGCCATGTGATGTCCATCTCTTCCACGTCCTCATGATGAATCTGATCCAATTCTCCAACCATGATTGGAGGAGCTAAATCTCCTGCCAAGAGAGCATTGTAGCAATTCATGAACCCAGCCATTAAAGCCATGTTCTCTTCAGTTTCTTTTGGAATTGATGAAGTTTGAACTGTAGTTGTGGCTTTAGAACTTGAAGGTGCCAAATGTTGATGAGGTACAACAGGATGAACAGAATGTGTCTGTTGAGCTGAGAATGCACTATTTGTTGAGATTCCTAGATTGGCAGTAGAATATGAATTCACATGGTTGATTTCATGCTGCTTATCATCCATGTCATATGCCTTTATTATAGCCATCACTTCTGCAAGGGAAAGCTTGCTCAGATCTCTAGTCTTCTTGATCACTGACACATTCATGTCCCAGCTACGTGGAAGAGAATTCAGCAGCTTCTTGTTAATCTTTGTGCGTGGTAGATCGATCCCAGCCGTACTCATCTCTGTAGTGAGAGAAACAAATCTTTGCAGCTGAACTTCAAGAGACTCCCCTAGAACATGATTAAACATGTTGAACCTCTGTCAAAGCAGGTCTTTTCTGCTCCGCCTCATGTTCTCATTTCCCTCATAAACCTCAATCAAAGCCTCCCATAAATCCTTTGCAGACATATATTGCCTAAAGCCTTGGGCAATTTCAGGAGATAAGGCCATGGTAAGAGTGGCAAGAGCTCTGTCATGTTCTTCAATCTTTTCAAAGTCCTCATCCGTGTAGTTCTCTATCCTTTTATCAACAACAGTTTTAGCTGCATCAGCCAAAGTTTTTGTAATCCCGACTGGACCTCTAAGAATGCTCCTCCATATCTTGGCATCCTTCATTTTAATGTACTTCTCAATTTTGAATTTCCATTCCGGAAACCCATTAGCGGACAAAAGACGAGGAATTCGAGTGACAGTCCCCATAATAGAATCCAACTCCTGATGCAGTAAACTGTTGTACCGAGATTCCATTTTAATTAACAAAACCGAGAACACCCAAAAATCAAAAAAATTGACCGAAAACAAGGAAAGTCAACAGGTGAGTTGACCGAAAACTCCAAATTAAAAAGTGTTGACCGAGAACAACGAAAATGTTGACCGAGAACTGTTTATTTTGGTCGAGAACGAAAACTGAAAAACGCTTATTTCTTGTATAGATTTCGGTCAAAACGTTGACCGAAAACCTTCAACTTTGACCAAGACCCACCGAAAACCCTTAAGATTTTAGAACCGAAAAACCTTGCTTTCTTATCAGGAAGTCACCGAAAACCCTTAAATTTCGTGATTTTAATTGATAAGGATCCAAAGTAATCCCGAAAATTCAGATGAAGATCCACGAAGAACACGATGAATACGAAGAATCCCAAGAACAGTTAATCGATGAACAACAAATTTTTTTATCAATTTTCGATTAAACCAATGATCTCAAAACAGCTAAAAACGAGTCCCCAAGGTCCTTGAATCGATTGATACATTTTCAAAGCTCTGATACCAATTGTAAGTCCCAAAACACTTAGATCAATACGATATCGATCAAACTATCTAAAGAATGCGGAATATAAATCAGATACTGATTCAAGAATACACAAAATAACTAATGCACACGATTTATTAGTTGAAATGGTCTGGTACACCAAGAACTTCTTAACAACCGAATGTAATAATTATGAACAACTCGAACTGCTAAACGACTGAAAAAATATTTATACAAACCTAGTACAAAGCTTTAATAGGCCCAAGCCCATTCTGACCGAAATCACTATGTGATTTCGGTCCCCATAACCAAAAACACCATAAGCCCACTAACAATAAACATTCCTAAGCCCAAGTACAATAATAAACTAGAAACCCAACATAAACCATTTAAATATGAACCAACAATCGTTTTTCAATAAAATGTCAAATTTTATGCACTAGTATCATATATAATTAATATTACTATATTTGTTTAACTTTTTGTTAATTTTAAGTAAAAAACAACTTTTTTTCTCGAAATTCTGAAATTGTTCTTCAAATTTCGGACTGGTTCGTGAAATTCAGAGTTTTTTTTTTCGAAATCCGAAATCTGCAATACCGTTCCGAAATCGGTCAAAAAAAGTGTTTTTTTTTGTCCGGAATGCCCCTTCTAGACTAAGTGGTTAGTTTTGCTAAAATATATTTATTTTGGTTATTTTCTTCAAATAAATGTTAGAAAGTAATTCCCGGGAGAAAAAGTAAAAGAGAAATTTATAAATATAGCTAAAATTGCTAATTATTTTTTAAAAATAGCCAAAAATTAGCAAATTACATAAAATAGCCACTAAAATCGCAGGTCATTAGGGCCCACTATGAAATTGAAAGTCCATCTGTGAATGTACAAGTCATTAATGCACAACCTATGCATAAAAGACTTGTACATTCGTAGATAGACTTCCATCTGCTATTTGACCAGATCCATCTGTGAAATTGGACAATCCAAGTATAATTAGCATTTTTTTTTGGAAAACTCTCAGTTTCCATCTTCCAACTTGGAAAAACTCTCTCAAAACCTCTTATTGAAGAACGATGGAAAACGTATCAAACCCTTTTAATTAAAAAAATTATGAGAAATAAGTATTATGTTTGTCAGCTTGTTGATTTTTATGCGTAGTTAGTCCACTCATTATGATTAGTCATATAGTTTACATGATTACCGTAGAAAATATTAAGATTTGGGTTTTTAGTTAATAATTTTAATATATATATAAATATATAATAATAGAATAATTTGATTTAAGACATTTTCGTCGAATTTTAAATTGATTTTAGTCTTTAAAGTACAAGCATTAATATTTGAAGACTAGAGGACCGGTCTAGGGTTATGACTGACCATAAATGAGACATCAAAGGAAAACGATTGATTGTAATCAATTCAACCGTTTTTTAGATAAGTTTCAATACGATCAAGGATCGGTTTCAGTTTTAAATTGTTTATCCCATCTCTAATTAACATGATGCTAAGAATATATAGATCAATCCAACCTCCTACATATAAGAGGTCTTGAGAGAGTTTCTCAAGTTGGAAGATGGAAAAATGAGAGTTTTCCAGAAAAAATGGTATTTATATTTGGATTTTCCAATTTCACAGATGGATCTAGTCAAATAGCAAATGGAAGTTCATCTACGAATGTACAAATCTTTTATGCACAGGTCATGCATTAATGACTTGTACGTTCGCAGATGGACTTCCGATTTCATAGATGACCCTAATGACCTGCGATTTTAGTGGTTATTTTGGCTATTTTTAGAAAATTTATTAGCAATTTTGGCTATATTACCAATTTCTCAAAGTAAAATAATTATATGAAGAGAAAATTACAAATTTAGCCATTTTCCTTAATAATTTTGCAAAATATAACCAAAAAACACCCAACATTACAAAAATAGTCATCAAAATCGCAGATGGATTAGATCCATTTGCGATTTTGGCATTTGATATGCGAATGTACAAGCATTTAAAACGTACTGCGATTTGCCCTTTTTCAGAATATAAATTCCTAAATTTTTTTGGAGCTCTCATTTTTGTTGATTTTTCTTTGGGGAAACTCTCTCAAGCCTGTTAGAGAAAACTATGGAAGTCAAACCTATCATTTTCGTAGTAAAAAAAAAAACAAAATCAACACAAAATCGCAGATGAACTCACTTCATCTGAGAACATAGGTGAATGGATGAGGAATTTATACTTGAAAAAACCAAAAAACTAAAAAAATAAATAAATAAATAAAATCGCGAACGTACAACCTACTTTACATGCCAATGCTTTAAACGCTTCTACCTTTGCAGATGGCTCTAATCCATCTGCGATTTTGATGGTTGTTTTTGTAACGTTGAGTTTTTTGGTTATTTTCTACAAAGTAATTAAGGAAAATAGCTAAATTTGTAATTTGCTCTTCTTAATATAAGATTAATATTAGATTAAATTATTGTAATGGTCCATGTGGTTTGGATATTTTACACTATTTCGTAAATTTGACCACTTGAGTCGAAGTCAAACATAAATCCTGGTTAAAGCGATGCGCAGCCAATCACCGTGTCCTTCGATCCAGCCAATCAGTGCGTCCTTCGATCGAGCATCGTTTTTTAACTACCTTTTTCTTCTGCCTTTTCTTGATTCCAATCTTGATCAAATTCACCTCTTAATATACTGATTGGCTGGGTTTTGATTCGAAGCGCAGTCTAGGGTTTTGCACTTTGGAATTTGTTATCGATCTATAGTAGTGAAGTGTGTATAGTAATGGCAGAACCGCGAGTCGATAAGAAGAAGAAGAGAGTGGTGGTTATTGGTGGCGGCGTAGCAGGTTCTCTTCTTTGCAAAACCCTTCAAAAGCATCGACATTTTGATTTCACCCTCATTGATTCGTAAGTTTCTAATCCTTCTCTTCTCTTCTCCCACGTTTTTTGATTGATTAAAATTTTTCTTAGCTGATATTCAATCGGAAATGTTCTTAAGATCCTTTATTTCCCGTGCCCTTACCTTCACCCTCCATTAATGGTATTCATTTCAATCCGAAACCGAATACTTGTCTAGCTCTGAGTATTTTGGTAAAGTGATTACTACGATTTTATGATCGTTTAGGGACTTGCAATAAGGAAACATACTATCATCGAGATATATGTAAATTACTACCTATATCTTACGTTAATCAACTGATTATACACCTATTTCTCACCTTAATCAATTATCTGATTCTGATTGTAATTCTTTAAGCTTTTAAAGGCACATTTAGACACCCCCTAAACAGTAAAGAAGTACTGTAATTAATTATGCTAGTCTTGGGTTTGCTAGGAAATATGTATGAATCTTGCATTTGGATATGGCCACACCAATATACACCTTATCTAGTTATGTGATCTTTTCTTTGAGATGAATAATCATATATTTAACTTGTTTATCTTTTGAAAACAAATGCTTACTCATATATTCCATATGAAGAAGTGAATGACTATATGATTAACCAGTAGGATCATGTATTCCTTCTTTTTTACCTCATTTTATATTATGCTCCTGTTCAATTTCCATTTTTTTTATCCAGGAAAGAGTATTTTGAGGTGACATGGGCAAGGCTGAGGTCAATGGTGGAACCATCATTTGCAAAAAGATCTGTGATTAATCACCATGAATATCTTCAAGGGGCAAGTATTATCACATCTGATGCAAATGGGATTGAAGACAATGAAGTGTCAACTACAGAAGGTCGCCTGATTTCATATGATTATCTTGTAATTGCCACAGGTCACATGGGTAGCAAATGTGTCACAAAACCTGAGAAGCTCAGGGAGTATGAAGCAGGTAATTTTACAAAACTTTCATATCATTCCAAATTGCTTATTTACCAAACTTTGTAAAAGAAGAGGTAACATGATCACATGGGAACTTAGATGTATGCAATCTTTGTTTGCAGATAATGAAAAGATCAAATCTTCAGAGTCAATATTGATAATTGGAGGGGGACCCACTGGTGTGGAACTTGCAGCTGAAATTGCTGTTGATTTTCCCACCAAAAAGGTAAAACTAGTTCACAAGGGTTCAAGATTGCTGGAGTTTATAGATGAAAAGGGTAGTAAAAAGGTCCTTGATTGGTTAACTCTTAAGAAAGTTGAGGTAATTTTAGGTCAATCTGTTGCTTTGACTTCCAGCTCTGATGATGGAACTTATAAAACATCTGAAGGTGAAACTATCATGGCTGATTGTTATTTTAAATGCACAAGTGATCCGATTGGTTCATCATGGCTTAAAGAGACAAGTCTCAAGGATAGTTTGAATGATAGTGGGAGATTAATGGTTGATGCAAACTTTAGAGTCAAAGGGTTTGACAATATCTTTGCAATTGGAGATATCACTGATGTTGCAGTAAGTCTCATCACATTTCTATGTTTCTTTGGCTCATTTTTGCCAATTATATAATGTTCTTTGTGAAATGACAATGTTTGATTGATGTTTAGGAACTTAAACAAGGATATTTGGCACAAAAGCATGCTTTGGTGGTTGCTAAAAATTTGGAGTTGTTGATAAATGGAAGTGATGGGGGCAATATGGTAAAATACACTCCGGGCTCACCAACGGCAATTGTGTCATTGGGGAGAAGAGAGGCCTTGTTGCAAGTATGGTGTGTAACATCGATTGGGCGGGTTCCTGGTATGCTAAAATCCAAAGATTTGTTTGTTGGGAAAACAAGGAAGCAACTAGGGCTAAAACCCTAATCTTGTTTGTTTATTATGCTTGGAATTGGATTGGATTGATAAACCCTTTTATTATACCAAACTAGTTTATTCGGTTTGAAATTCTAAGGTAAACAAACACATACTATGTTATACAAGTCTAAAAGAGTGAATATGAAAACTTTGGTATTGTTTGGTTATGTAACAATTTCATTTATTTTCGGTTAAGTCATTGCTCAACTTCTTATCTCAATTCACACACATTGTATTAAAATTTCTTTTTTTTGAAATCTTAACAATATCAATATGCACAATATAATTAAAACTCATAATCTTAAGCAACATTTTTACTTTGCAAAGTATACATGACAAAAATTTGATCTTTATTAGCTAATAAATAATCTTTAGAATTGGTTAAGGATATTGGGTACTCTTAGTTTTGTTTTTGTTTTTTTTTTCTTTTTGAATCTATTCATAAATCACATATGATAGTTGGATTTGATTTACAGTTTTTTAATATTATGTTATCAGTACAATATAATATGAATATTTGATCATTTATAAAACATTATTTAAACAATGTTTTAATTAAAAACTGAGGACTGGTGCTTTTGGGGAAAAGTTCCACAAATAAAATACATGTTTCGTTAAGTGCAAATGTGTTGTATCTTACGTGGATCAATCAATTTCTTAAGTAGAAGAATCACCTCATATTAATAAAGGGTAACATGATATAAGACATTATTTAAATAAAATGGCAATTGAACGATGAAGAGTAGTTACAACCAAGTAGGGTTGTACATATAAACATGAATAAGAGTTTGTTCATGTCCGTTTGTTAAGTTTAACCGAACAAACGGACTGGCACAAACATATAGACGAACAAACACCGACTATTAAACGAACAAATCGTATTGTTTGTGCTCATTCATTAAGATGATAAACAAACATTATCAATCATATGAGAATGAACATAAAGAGACATAAATGAACATAAACATTCAAATCAATGACCGGAAAACTTGATCATCAACAATTCAATGATTGTTGACCATACTTAACATATATTAAATCTGGAAGTGGTAAAACGTAACCACTCTTAAAAGCTTCACTTTCACTCTCACACATTGCATAATATTTTATAACATAACATAAACAAGCGTAAATCGACGAACATAAATAAACGCTCACAAACGTAAATAAACGAATGAAGTTGTTGTTTATGTTCATTCATTTAACCAAAACGATCAAAAAAAATCTTATTCATGTTTGTTTATTTATTAAATAAACGAACATAAATGAACTTTCAACCAAATTATTCAGTTTGTTTGCAATACTAAAGTAGTAGATAGAGGTTAATTCAAGCTAAAATGAAAAGGAAAAAGAGTTAAAGGACTAAAGCAAAAGGATTGAAAGAAGGACTGATGGGCATAAAAGAAAAAGGCTAAGATTACCTCGTTCCCGAGTTTCATTTAAGGAGGGAAGAGGAGGTAACAGGAAGGAATCGAGAGGAAAGGAGAAGATCTTGTTCCTGAGTTGTTTTTTTTTTTTTGTTTTTTTTTTTTTTGATATGGAAAGAAAAGAAGAGAAGATAAGGGAAGATCTTCCTCCCAAATTGGAGAGATTTGGAGAGAAGTCGTCCATATCTCCGTCCGATTTATTTGAAGTTTACCCAATTATCCTTCTTATCACTATTTATACGCACACTGCAAACCAGAAACTTGTTTACACATCACGGACACGATTTGCATCCTCAAGCCGTTCATCAGGTCTTCATCAATCTTCGTCCATGCAATATCACATGTAAAAACTTGTTTTTGTTTTCTTTTTTATTTTCAATTCAGTGTTCTACTTCAAGTTCTTCTGTGTATAGTGATCTGGTATTATTTTCAATCGTGATTTGTTATTATTTTCAAGTTCTTCTGTGTATACAAGAGCGTGTTATATTAAAATAAGTGTTCTTTTTGCGTACGTACTCGACATTCATATATGCTGTTCATCGTGAATCATCCTCAAAAACAACATGGAAATATTAAAAATTTTGCCATTCTTGAAATATTATTAAACCAAGTTAGGAGGAGGTGGCATGCTTCACGAAACAAGATTTGTTTTTTACCAAACATGAATTGTTTAAAATATGATCTGACAATGTACATCAAAATGGTTGGATAATAAAACTAGTCAAGTTTATGACTGTCAAATGTCAATCATTAAAACATTAATATGGACAAGTGTGACTGATTTTAAGAAAGTCAATATTTGTTATCAGTTATCACATCCAACCATTTGCACCATCAACATCCACATTCATGTTTTTATGACGACAAACATGTGACAGTTTTCAGTTTTAAAAATTTTTCCTTTCTTTTCCTTCGAACTAGGGAACACGAAAAAGTTAATCATTTCCTTCCTCTCCCTTTCTTTTCTCTCCATATTTTCCTTCCTTTTCTTTTCTTTCAGTTAGTAAAACTCGGGAACTAGGTGTAAATATACCAGTTCGCATACGTCTACTTCGCCTTTTTGGTGAATGATTCAATCTGGAAAACATTGCCTGCTTTGATTCTCTTTTAAGTACATTTTTGGTATATTTGTATAAGAGTTGTCGAACACAAAAGCAACTTTTCGAAACGAAGAATTAGAAGAAAAATATCACATTGATTTTGTTGTTCTCTAATCTTCTGCGTTTCTGTTTAAAACAGCAAAGAATTGAAGTAAACGAGATGAGTTCGACTAAGGACGCCTTGGAATCGGTATTGTTTCTTTCTCTATTGTATGTTTAGTTTAAATACCATGCCATATGCATGTTTTCTTTACATATAACAAACATACTTATGATTATCATGGGCCAATTTGTACGAGAGCTGTAACAAACTTACAGTTCTAATTCTTTTTTCCTTTATAACCTTCTCATCAAGCAAACACGGATATGTTAGTTAAATACGCCATTGTTTGAAGCTAATACTGCAGTCTAATAGGACTAATTAATAGATTGTGCATGTTGGAGTTGTGTTTTAAGCTGTATATTAAATTGAAACCTGATCACTCTTTATTGCTTATGTAGATCGACAAAAGACGTAAAATTGCGGATCAGTTAATCAATCAACTTGATGAACAACTTGTTGAGTGTAAAGAGGAGATGAAAAGACTTCCACATTCTCCAGCTGATCAAGAAGCTGTGATAGCTCATGCAAAGATACTTCTCGGACACAAAAAAAATGTAAGTTGATTCATAAAAAAAATGACACCCTTATCCTTATGAGGATATATTGTGAATCCTAAGGATTCATGTAGTTACACAAGTGAAAATAATTTCCAAGCCTTCTTTTTCTCCTTTAGCCTCCACATATTTTCTCGACTTGGCATATAGTCATGTATAATAGCAATATGCTTACTTGATTATTTTATCTTTAACAAATGTTATCTCTGTTCCAAATTTCAAACAAGTTAGTTTTCTATATTCTATTTAATTATATGGTTAGATATTAATCCACAACCTTTACTCATTCTTGTCAGGTACCAAGAACAAATTTACATACTAAACAACCAAGCATTGAACCTACGTCAAGTGGAATCCGTTTCCCAAAGTCTTAAAGAGGCTCCACAAAAAGGTGAAAGCTAATATTCAAAGGTTTCAAGACATATTATAACTAGTATTTCTAACCAATGTAATGTACTTGGCCTGGTTATATTAACCATCTGCTAATACTTTCAATATGAAATAAGAAAAACAACATTGAGTTGGCAAGAGCACATGAAAATGACCATTATTCTTATTAACTTTGTTCATATTTGCTCATTTTGTCAACTATAATGTTCTTTCTGCGTTTTCGAAAGGGGCTATTGCAACATACTTTTATTTATTTGTGTGTCATTATCATAACATCCTACTTTTGTATATTTCTATTAAAACATTGTACTTTTAAAATTTTCTTCAAAAGGAAATGTATGTAGAAAAAATCTATCCAATCAATTGTAGCATTATACTTTCAAATATATATATATATATATATATATATATATATATATATATATATATATATATTGTTTGCAGTAGTTATTAGTTCTTACCGGAAAAGTTTTATTTATCTATTTATAGTTGAAGCACATATATATTTTGGAAAAAATGGCTTACAATATATAAACTTGTTATGGCTCCTATACAATTATAGGTTACGGTGAAACATTAGTAACAAAGTGAAACTCTTTGGTTTATAAACTGAGTAAAAGAGTATGTTTGATTGCTGTTTATGAACTTAAACAAGGGTATTTAGCACAAAGGCATGCATTGGTGGTTGCTAGAAACTTGGAGGTGATGTGGGTAATATGGTCAAATACACTCATCAGCAGTTTAATGATTTGAGATTCCACGATACTTTTCTTTAAAACTTTGATTTTTAAATACGGTTTACGAACAAAGAGTTTTGCCTTGAACATATCCTTATGAAAATGTGAATTTATTACAGTTTAAAAATGAAATATCTTATTCTAAAAATTGAGACGTTACAAATTTAATGAAGCTCAAAAAGGATCTATGAATAAGTTTGTAAAAAAAAATTAAATTAAATTAAATTCTTCTAATGTACAAAATAATGCCACACATGAAAATGTTTTAAATGAGGAAGATAATATCATACATGAAAATGTGGATATTGATGATGAAATTATTAATAATGAAGATGTTAATTACACTCATGAAAATCTTAATAATACAAATGAGGTCCCCAATTTCAAATGAAAATGTCGATATTGTAAAAAAATTATAAAGGCCCTAATTTTTGCCATAGGCCCTAAATTGTCTAGGACCGATCATGTACGTTGGCTTGGCTTTCATTTTCTTGTTCTCCTAATTTCAGGTGAAAATGATTTTGATGCACCTCCATAAACCACAACTGGCAAGATAAACCACCATTTCATCAACTATTTTTTGTTTTCCTTATTTTGGTTCAATTCTCACTTCATCTTCTTCATTCAGCTCCTCAATAATGATATCATTCCTCTGATTTGGTGACATGGAGTATATAACCAAGTTGGTTGTGCCATGCTCAGTATATACATGAATCACTTTGATAGCTCTGATGTATTTAACTAGGTTACATATATCTTGATCATTATCAAGAGCTCTAAGGCCAAAAATAATGTCTTGGTCGGGAATTCTGAAATGATAATATACTACCAGTGGAGGGGGGGGGGGACTACATATTCTAGTTCTAGCATCATAGTGTCGAGCTCACGCACTGAAAAACTGTTAGATTTGAATGAAAGAAGAAAGAAGAACTTGAGAGAAAGTTATTCTCATTCAATAAACTGATCGATCGATCAGAAAAACATACAAAGGGGATATAACCCGAATTCAAAATAAAACTACCAAAATAACATAAACTACCCCTATACTATCAAGACATTTACAATTTACATTTAATATGAAAATATTAATCTAACACCCCCCCTCAAGTTGGAGGGTAGGAAAGTAGCCCCAGATTGCCGATAGCATTCTTGTGATTTGTTCCGGATAAAGCTTTCGTGAACACATCTGCGTGTTGATTAGTAGTGGAGACATGAGTTAAAGAGATTAAGCCTGCTTGTAGTTTTTCTCGCACAAAATGACAGTCCAATTCGATGTGTTTTGTTTCTCTCGTGGGAAAACAGGGTTTTTGGCAATGTAAATTGCTGCCAAGTTGTCGCATTTTAAGGGAATGGGAGTGATGTCAGGCACACCAATCTCAGTGAGAAGACGGCTTATCCATGCCAATTCTGAACATACCCTTCGCATAGATCGATACTCTGCTTCCGATGAAGACAATGAAACAGTGTTTTGCTTTTTGGACTTCCAAGAGATTGGACAATCACCAAACATGATAAAAAAACCACTGACAGATTTTCTTGTGATTGGGCAAGCAGCCCAATCAGAGTCACAGTAGGCCTCTACTTTGAAAGATGAATTTGAGTTAAAAAACAATCCTTGAGTTGAAGTGCCATGCAGGTATTGTAAAACATGAATAACAGCATCATAGTGAGATTGACAAGGATTTTGGTTGAATTGGCTCAAGTGTTGAACTGAGAAAGACAAATCAGGTCTTGTGTGTAAAAGAAAAATTAGTTTACCAATGAGTTGTCTATAAATGGAAGCATCCGGTAGAGGATCAGGCATGTTAGATAGGAGTTGTGGTTTCTGTGGTAGTGGCATGGAGACTGTTTTTGAACTGTGAATTGAATACAAATCCAGTAACTCTTTGATGTATTTGTGTTGATGAATAACCATACCTTTGTCAGTCTTTTGGAACTCCAGACCTAAGAAGAAACTGAGTTGGCCAAGGTCTTTTTGATGGGTTTTAGGTACAACAAATAAACTAGAAACAATTCCTAAGTTCACATGCAACCTACTTTGGATCTATGTTTTAACTATTGAACATACAACTTTGAATTGCAAAACAAGAACCCTAGAGGAGAGAGGCTAATTTCGAAATTAACAAACTAGGGTTTAGGGTTTACATACCTTTCAATTGTTATAGCAAACAATTGATATTCCCTTGATCTTGATCTTGATCTTCTTGGAAGCTTTAGCACCACAAGTGTAATGCCTCTAATGGAATCACACCCAAACTAGCAAGAAGGAAAGTAGAAGAGAGAGAGGAGAGGGAGTATGCAATTCGGCCTTAGGGTTTCTTCCAAAGAAAGAGTGACCAAAACATGAACCAGGAGGCTCCTTATATAGCTGAGGGATCTAGGGTTTAAGGGAAACCCTAGTTATCCTTTGCTTAGGGCCTAAGCAAACCCAAGGGCCTTATCCAAGCCCCTATGGACGAAATTATTAGGGTTTCCCCTAAAGATTTCGTCCACCCTCTTCCAAGGGGGTTCTAGAGCCTTCCACTCAACTATTAGATAATTGCAAACTAGTCCCTGCACCTTATAATTAATTCTTTTAACCCCAAAATCAATTCTGATTAATTTCTGGCTAACAATTAATTAAACATAATGATTTCTAATTAATATATTAATCCATTAACATATTAATAAATCATATTAATTTATTAATCTTATAAATTAATATCTCTCCTTTCATAATTTCCTTGTCCAGTTGCTAGGTTGAGGGCAACCCAAAAGGACTGTGCTGCTATCAATTCAAGTACATACCAATTATAGTTATGGGCTTAGACACCTAATCCAACAGTCTCCCACTTGGATAAGTCTGTAACTATAATTGCTAGTATGCCTTCTAAATTTGACCAGCAAATTGTAGCTTCCAAAAGCTGCTGCCGAACTCTGACCCAGTCAGTTACGTGTCCTAAGATAAGTGATCATATAACCCTTCGTTCTGCTTGATATCCCCAGACAAAAGACATGGAATGTAATCAATCTGTTTGTCCAGAATCTATGTTTCCCGATTCCTGATTTGTGATGATGTAGGACTTCTAATCGAACACATCAATTTAGTCCTGGCTGGGCCCAGCACATAAGTCAACACCAAATCATCGAGGGGCCCACAGATATCGCTTTTCCTGTTAGGGCAAAAGGAACGAATAAACGTTGACTCATATGCTTGTATCTTTTACTCATCAAATTATGCATGACAATACGTTTTATAACACCAAGTTACTGATGCGTTTTCGTATCACCAATGCACAACCGACTTGTAAATTACAACTCATATATCTTCGTTTCAAGATTATAAGATATTATCGTCTCAGTATTACTCGTGATGAATTCCATGAAGTAATACTCTGAGCGAGGGTTTATCCAATACTCAAATCTCAATTTCTGAGTACTCATGAACATTGCAGCAATTCTATTGCCATGTCTATCCTTAGACAATCTGCAATCCAATTCATGACAGTCTTAATTCACTACTTACTTCCAAGAGTACGAGCGACTGTGGAGTTTGAATAATCTCATTATTCAGGAAGTAAAACATGCAAAAATGAAACACAATAATAAACAATTGACAAAAGGTAGTAGCCAAACTTATAAATAATACTTTATTATTTAATCACCAAAAGTCAATTACATTTACTTTGTTACAAGTTTCAAAAACTAATCTAACTACTAAAACTAATATCATCTTTCAGTCCTATGCTCCGAGCATGCTGAATATGCTTAGCCCTACTCAGACCCTTTGTGAGGGATCTGCTGGGTTATCTTCAGATGACACCCTCTTTACTATAAGATGGCCTTCTTCTACTCTATGTCTGATGAAATGGTACTTTCTGTCGATATGTCTGGTCTTACCATGATCTCTCGGTTCCTTTGTCAAGGCAACCGCTCCTTCATTATCGCAGAACAGTTCCATAGGCTCCTGGATGGTTGGAACAACTCCGAGATCCCCGATGAAGTTCCTCAACCAAGCTGCTTCTTTCGACGCTTCACTTGCTGCTATGTACTCTGATTCACAAGTAGAATCAGCCACCGTATTTTGCTTGGAACTCTTCCAAGTAACTGCTCCTCCATTCAGTAAAAACACCCAGCCCGACTGAGAACGGAAGTTATCTCTATCCGTCTGAAAGCTGGCATCACTGTAACCATCTACTCTCAAAGTATCACTGCCACCAAGCACAAGGACCCAGTCCTTTGTCCTTCGCAAATACTTGAGTATATTC